GGTACATTCATTTGGAGATGTCCAACAGGCAGTGAGTGATGTAGAATTGAAGTTCAGGAGAGAGACTAGGGCTGGATATATGGATTTTGGAACCATTTGCATAGAGATGATAATTGAACCAATGGGAACTGATGAGATCACACAGAGAGAATGTAGTAGTTCCTTGTATTTTTTGTTCTGTTAACTCTTTTCAACAAAAGCAATGCTTTCTAAACTCCTAGGTTCTCTTTATAATATCTAGCTAGCATTTAACTAAAATGTTTTACAGAATATTCTGTAATTACTTATTACTGGTATCATAAAAGAATTTTTTGCACCAAGCCTTTGGACCATCATCTTGAACTCTCAAAGGGTTTGTGAATCAGTAAATGGGAGTCACTAGTGTAGAGACAGCCCCTAGGTGGCACACTGCACAGAGCACTGGGCCAAAAGCCAGGAAGACTCATCTTCCTGAGTTCAAATCTGGCCTGAGGTACTTACTAGCTGTGTGACTCTGGGCAAGTCATTTAACCTGGTTTGCCTTAGTTTCCTCATCTGTAAAATGAGCTGGAGAAGGAAGTGGTAAACCACTCCAGCATTAGCATTAGCATCCAGCATTAGCACTCCAGGATCTTTGCCAAGAAAACCCCAAATGGGGTCATGAAGAGATGGACATGACTGAACAACAGCAACAAAGTATAGAGAGAGCAGAGAAGAGAATCTAGGCACAGAGTCCTACTTTACCCTTCCTGCATAGGGGAATGGAAGGTAATTTTTCAAAGGAGGGTGAAAAAGAGTGATTAGATACATAGAAGGGGAAGTAGAGTTATGAAAATCCAGGGAGGAATGAACTTCTAGGAAAAAGGGGATAGTCAACAGTGTCAACTGTCAAATACTAAAGTCAATACTTTAGTGAAGTTAGAATTCTATGAAAATAATATTAATTCAGGCCAATCAGGGAAAGGCAATTATGATCAGCTAAGAAGTCTGAATTATGCAACAGTTATGCAATCAAGTGGTGCCAAGCTAAGGCACCACTTGATTGCATAACTGTTACATCAATTGCTATCATTTAAATAGGTTCTGCTAGGTGTCTAAAACCAAGTTATTATTTTTTTGAGCAGGTCAAACATTTACCGTGCAATTTTGTTCATGTTACATAAATTTCCTTACTAGATCATACCCTTGAGAACAGTGAAAGGATACATTTCGGCCCACTTGCTGTCTGAATTAGCACAAATTCCAAATTAGTGGGGCCTGAACTAATTAGATTTCATGGTACCATGAAATTTGCCCTCAGAAATCAGCCCATCAGAGACAGCTGGGAAATCGATGGAAGTTGATGTGTGTAAAACTTGAGGAAGCAGAAAGGAAAAGGCTGAGTACCTGTCTTGTTTGGTTCACACATTTTAGTCTTTCCTTTCCTAATCAAGGGAGAAAGAAAGAGAAGAAAATGCCAGGAAACCTATTGTGTGTAAATAGGCTCGACACCAAGAAAGCAAGGAAATGTCGTACTGAACTTTATGAAAACTCTTTCGAAACATTCAAAGAAAACAGCAATTCTCTGCATAAAGAGAAAAATAAAAATAGCAAAATGCTGGACAATACAGTCTAGCTACCTAGCAGCCAATTTAGTCAAGTGAATATCTGGAATAATAAACTGTACCCTCAGAGTCTTCTGTAGGGAGTTGGGGAAAAGAAAAATGGGGAGACTCTTTGGATTGCTCATTATTCTTAGGATCTGGGTTGTATATTAACGGCATCATCTATCTAAGCAAGGGGACATATTTAGTCCCTATTGGGGATAAGGTGGGAGACTAGGTAGCACCAAGAGGACATAGTATGGGACTGTGGGACCCAGGGGACCTCTGCCATCAATGTAACCTTGGCCAAGTTACTTTATATCTCTGGGGTTCAATTTTTTTCATCTGCAAAATAAGGTAGATTAGACTAAAGTGCCTCTCAGCCCTTCTCAATCTATGATCCTATGACCTCACTGGTCTGTGGTCCCTATATCAGCCTTTGCCTCATTTTCTTCTCACTGGGTTCAGATGACAAATAAGCCCTACTTTTACCCCAACTTTTTCCTCTACATTTGCCTAGATTCCATGGTTTTCAGAGTTAAAAATTCTGATGATTATTTCATGAGAAGGTTACCATTAACCATTACCATTAGTCTGAACTGTTATCAACCATTCTCATAAGGATGACATGAACTCTTGGAATTGGGTTAGCTTCCCCAACATCAAACAGGGAAACCAAAAGGAACCCATTGGAACATAGGATATTTTCAGCCCTCTCTCCTAGAGGGCACTGGTTGACTACGAGAGCAAAGGAACAGGTGGGTAGAGAAATAATTTTGCAGCCTGGTGTGAAGCCAGAAGGGATCATGGTAGCTCAGGAGTCATCTGACTAATCAAAGCGCTTTCAAGCTAAGACGATTTCCCAAAAGCAAGAAAAGATTTGGGCTTATGAGACATAGGAGGGGGTAGTAGAAAGAAAAAGCATATGGTGAGGCTTGGGTTATGTTCTCTCGCTCACTGAAATCCTCTCAGTGACCTAGATCATTCTGGGCCCCGCTGGAGAAAGCATAGGCCCAGATGGGAAATGGTGCTTTCTCTACCTGGATTTTCAGGGAGTGTTCCTTGTGAATGAGGGAGGAAAAGTCTAAGTCAATTTTAGGGGATTAAAATAGGGACAAAAATAATGAAATCTCTACCTGTTATTCAAGGAAGACGGGCAGAATGTAATCAAGTTAAACCAGAGCAAGGGCTTAGGCAAAACACCCATTGCAAGGTAATCTGTCCAGCACCATAATTTAACATTTGCAGTGACTGTTTGGAAAGCAGCACGCAGATTCCACAGTCTACTCTGTTGACCTGAAAGTAATTTGTTTAATCTTTCTTGGAGCGAGTGAAATATAACCTGGGGAATTTCAATCCTACTCAAGTAGTAAGTCGAAAATTTCCCCAATGCAAACTCATATTTTTTGGGTTCTGTTTGTGTCTACAGGCAGCAAGTGGCAAGGATGAGAGCCAGGAGGAGAAAAGGAAGAAGACTTCACAGTCGGCTTAATACCAAGGCATCATTCATGGGAGTATGGTGTGGGCAGGAAGAGAAAGAGAAGAAATGTCTGAGAGAGGTGGCTGCAAGAGAATAAGAACTGGGAGGGGAAAGGTTTGTGGTTTCAGGTATAAAATCTGTAAGACTGAAACTAGGGAGATAGAGAGAAAGAGAGAAAAGATGGGGGAGAAAGAAAGGGGGAAGAGAGGAGAAGCTTGGGAGAGAGTGGAGAAGAGAGATAAAAGAGATCAAAAGAGGGGGAAATAAAAAAGGAGAAGGGAGAGAGAAAAAGAGAAGGGGACAAAAGGGGAAAGTAAAGGATAGAAGCAAAGGAGACTTGGGACTTCGAATGCTTTCCAACTATCAGTTTGTTCATCTCGTTCCCCTATAGCTTACATGGGCTGTGAGCTCTTTGAGGATATGAACTGCTTTGTCTCATGCCCGTATTCCAAGGGGATATGGGTGTGTGGATACCTATTTTTGAGTCCTCCAATGATACATGTTAAATGGTTGATGGATTTTGAGGCGTCTATACTATACCATGAAGGACAAGCTGGAAAATGGAAAATTTAGTCAATCAGGTAGCAGCTGAGTATTTAATAAATGCTTTAGTTCATTCAAAATCCCATGTGATTTGAAAACCAAAATATTCCTCCCTGGCTACCATTTCCCAGTATGTGTTCAAACTCCTTGAAGGCAGGTACTATTTCACTCTTATATTTGCACCCCCAGTACTTGCCACATAGAAAGGTGTTTGAAAATGGTTTTCATTCATTTATTCATGATAAGTCACATGATTCCAAAGAACTGTCTAAGCTGATTTTTTTTTCTTTCACTGAATTAACTGGTTATTTTGGCATTCTGCAGAGCTGTTCTAAACCAAAACAGTCTGATTTGACCTCATTTGAGGGCATTTTTAAGACCTACTGGGGATACCATTAACACTCAAGGATGGGGATAATTTTCTCATTTTAGATTTCTATCACTCTGGGCATTGGGACATTGTACTTTTTCATTTATGGAATGGTCCGAATACCACAAGAGATAGGTACCATTCTCAATACATCCTTCGTAGCAATCTGAAGGGTGGGACAAGGAGACCTATCAGTTAAGACATGAGAAGATGTCACAGAATGAGCCTGAGATGATGTCAGGCTACTGTGGTCTGGATTCTAAATACTAGACCATGACATGTTAGGACAATCACTGTCTTCATGACTGACAAATCATGAATGAATGAATAAAAAGTGTTTTAAGCGTTTCCTATGTGCCAAGCAATAAATACAAATACAAAAATGAAAAAAAAAAATCCCTTTCCTCAAGAAGCTTACATTCTAATAGGGGCATTCATATAGAGGAATAGTGGCCAGGAGGGCTGTCTAAGTTTGAAAGCACAGGGATGGTAAATGAATATTATTTATCAAAAATACTTCTCATGTGCTAAGGATTGGTGATACTGCTGCTAAATCCAAGATGTGACTATAAGTAGTAAGAGTGACTTTATAAGCCACACACACAAAATTGGTCTCATTTCTTTACAATCAGTCTCAGATACATTAGTTTCCCTGTATTTAACAAAGAATGTGTGTTTGTGTGCACATACATTTGATCTTACACGAGGTAAAGGTCATAGAAGAAGATAGAAAAGCAAGGCCTTGTCCTATTTTGCTGTGGTTTTTTTTTTCCTGCATGTTTTCCAGGTTTTATGGCCTTTCAAGAGCCAGCTGTTGATGTGCACATCTGGCTGCAGATCATGAACTGCACATCTGGCTTCTTGTACAATTGAGCTTCAGGTACTTGTCCATTTCCTAAAACTAGAGCATCTGTTCCTACAAGACAAACCAACATAACATATGTGCCTCTTGCCACAGCCAATACAGTGAGTCCTTATTCCTTGTCTCAGCTCCCATGCCCACACACAGACCCAGAAGGGCACAGGTGTCTGGTCATCAGCTCACCTGGAAGCGATGGAAATCTGCTGGCTTGAAGTCATTGGGGGAACAGCCACACCAGTCCACGATATGCTTGTACTGGCATTTGCAACCCAGCTTCCGGTTCCAATTGGTGATGCGCAGGTTGTTGTCCACCATGGTGTCACAGTGGGGGCTATTTTCCAGGACGGTGTGGAAGAAGGACTGTGAGGAGACACACAAGGCAGCTTGAGAACTTGAGAATCCCTCCTCAAGAATGGAGTTTGGGGCAGCAGCTACAGAAATGATCTTTTAACCCATCCAACTGCTCCCCTTTGGATAGGAGACCTCTTGTGCTTCTCTAACATAGCTCTGCTATGGAAGGACTCTCAGAAGGCAACATAGCACAAGCAGAAGGCAGCATCAGACTCCATTTGGTTCTCACACGTGCACCCTGCCTTGTAAGGCCTTCAGCCAGGAGACAATCCTGCAAATTCAGGTCTTAACTGCTCAGTAATACTTATGTGAGCAGGTAGTGCTACTTCATCAATGCTTTTCAATCCACGTGTGTGTGTGTGTGTGTGTGTGTGTGTGTGTGTGTGTGTGTGTGTAAACTCAATTGAAGTAGGCTTTCATATAATTTAGGATACTCTCAGTCTCTTACAAGGCACTTACTTGATATTTCCTTGGAGACTGAGAGGCAATGTGTCATACTGGATAGAGCTAGAATGGGTCTGAGTCAGGAAGGCCTATGTTTAGGCCTTATGAGATAGGTGACCTTGGACAAGTCATAACATTCCTGAACCTCAGTTCCCTCATCTACAAAGTGGGGATCATCACCAGCACTTAGATTATGTAGATTAAATGAAAAAAAATGTATAAAGCTGTCTGCAAACCTTAAGGTTCTATACCTTCTGCCATAACAAGGTCATAAACCTCACGTGTCAGTTATTTTTATTGGTATTAAGAATGCAACAAAGATTTCCTCCTCTTCCTTCCCCCAATTAGATTGTGTTCTACACTGGTAGAGCAAAGGAGAACCCTGAGGCAATTATCTGGATAAATTCAGCCAGAGACCAAATGCATTTTTGAGCCCCAAATCATCCTTATGCAATTGCTGTGATACTCTATATTTGGGCACTATTACAGATGACAATAAGAAGAAAAGGATTAGTCTGAAGACACCCTACTATCATTGGCTTTCACTTTCCATTTCTATACAGTTATGACCTGTGGAAGGTACAGGAGACAAGGAGTTCAGAGGGCATTTCAGAAGGGAGAGCAGAGCTCAAAATTCTAGCTTTGCTGAATGTCTATTTAGAGAAGGGGCTAACCTTTATTGTTTTTAGAAAAACTTGAAAATAGTATATAAATACGCAGCAGTACATAATCAGGTCTGACTCTCCCTGCCACCTCCTGACCCTCATTTAATGTTAAACGACAGGCCAGTGAATTTGGATTTTATGCTCGGATTGTCTATAAACCCATAGAGCCACAAACTCATATTGAAGCAATGGGAAAAACTACCCAATTATGCTCTACCCCATATCCTTTCACAATGATACAGAAATTCCCTGCAAGATAATGGATAAAAAGGTTATCAGAGTTGAGACAAAAGGTGATTTTAGCTGAAATAGGATTAAAAGCAGATTACTTAACATGTGTGCTGAATAATAATAATAATAATTATAATTAAAAAAAAAAACAGGCACATTATGACAAGTGCTATAATTCTCCTGAATGACAAAAGGACAGTTGTCCCCAGAACAAAGTCATCATCCTCCCAGAAAACTCAGGGCTCTGAAATCATTAAAAGATATTCAAGTTAAACACAGAACAGGAAGGCAGCTGGAGCAGGGGAAAAGATTAGGGTGAATGGGGTAGAATAGGGGAAGACAGCCACCTGACCATTCCTGGGAGGCTGCCATCTGGCTCAACAGAAATAGAACCTGCTCTACAGTTTTGGGGTATAGAACTGAGAGAATAGAATTTTGAGATCTCTTAGCACAGCTTAACAATCTCGTAGCACAATTTTGAAAGAGGAAGCAACCAAGGTTTTTGTATAGATAATATTAAAAATAGCTGCCAATTATAGAGCACTTGAAAGTTTACAAATCATAGAACATATTATTTCATTTGGGACTCAACAATTTATCCTATGAGGTAAGGACTACAGATATTATCATCTCCATTTTACAGAGGAAACTGACACATATATAAAATGTTAGAAGTAATATTTGAATCTACATTTTCCTGACTTTAAGTGTAGATTCTATTGGTTAGACTATCCTATCACATTGAGGCTGTATCTTCATATTGTATCTAGGTGGAGCAGTGGATAGAGTGCTGGGCTTGGAGTCAGGAAGATCTGAGTTCAAATCCAGCATCAGACACTTACTGGCTATGTTACCCTGGGCAAGTCAATTAATGTTTATCTGCCTCAGTTTCCTCAACTGTAAAATGAGGATCTTATTAGCACCTACCTCTCAGGGTTGTTGTGAGGATCAAATGAGATAATATTTGTAAAGCACTTAGCACTGTGCCTGACATGTAGCAGGCACTATATAAATACTTATCTCCTCCCTTCCTCCTTTGCTATCCACATGGCACCACAACATGGGATCAGGTACTTCAAGGCTTGAGTAAGCATGTCTTTAATTCAAAGTGATCTCAATGACTACTACTTGAAAACAGTTGCCTATAAGTAAATGTTTTGAAGGCTCACTGAATTTTTCACTTTTCACCTGGATTTTTGATATCCAGTTTCACATAACTAAAACTTCTTCATTTTTCCTGAACCTCCAATCAAACCAAATATCTACCTCGGCAGGAAGCAAGGTGTAAGAGTAGAACTGCTTCATCTTGGTCACCAGGTCATCATTGGAGAAGGTCACATATTCCACAAACTTTCGGTTCAGTAGGAACCAATCAGAGCCTCCATCTACTGTGATGCCTTGAGGGATCTTCCGGTCACCCAAGCGCCACATGTGAGTATCACACTCTAAGAAGAGGCGGTCCAGTCCTTGTTTCCGTATAAACCTGGGAGAGATAAAGAAAACAATCACAGCCATGCCAACAGAAAGGGGGCTGTGCTCAGAGTCTGAAATAAAATGATAGTAATGAGCTTGTATTTCTATTTTTAAGGTAGCATAGAATGATGGTTTGAGAACTTACTTCAGAGTCAGGAAGATATGTGTTCAAGTCCTGTCTCTGACACATAATGACTATATGACAAGTAACTTAAACTTTTAGTGCTTCAAGCAACTCACTAAGACTATAAAGTATAGGGGAAATGTAGCATACAAAAAAAATTACTCTAATAAATTGTAGACGTTAAATTAATGAAACAATCAGCAAAGGCTCTAGGAAATGGGAAAAGAGATCATTTCTGTCTGGGTCATCATAGAAAAATTTAAGGAGCAGATTAAATTCACATAGGCTTTAAGTAAAAAAACTATTCCCAATAGGAAAGAGGATATCACTAACTTATACCCCAAATGTTGTCATATACTCAGTATTTTTTAAAAATTTCTTCTTTAATTTAGACCTAAATATAGCACTGCTCATGAAGCAGTCATTCTCTTTCCCTACCACTGTTACCAATCCTTGCTTTGACTCCCAGAGTTCTCCAAATCTTGCCCTTATTCTTGTAGCCTACTCACAGATGGAAATCCTTTGGAAGAAAGGTGGGTTGTTATTGCTATTTTTTTTATAGAATTTCACCAATAATTAGGGAAAGAAGATAAGATAAAACCAATTTATGGAGTTCAGAACTGTTGAGCTGCAGAACTCAGAAATCTTAAGATTGCCTTGATCTAAGTATAAATAACTTGTACAACCTCCTAGGGGTTTATTAATCCCTGTGTCCATCTACCTAGAATCTACCTACCTACCCACTTGACTATAGCATAGTGATGTCATTTTGGTCCTCTTCGAGAACCAAGGACAACAACAAACCAACCAACCACCTACCTACCTACCTTGCTATATGGCTACCCACTAGGATTCCTCTAGACATAGCATGCATGTGCATGATCAGCCAGTGCTGAAATCCATTTCCTTTTCTTCTTGGCTTCAAGATGAGCTTCTTCATTAAATTTCACAATCAAGGTGATTCAGGAGACATTCCTTAGCCCTTAGCCTTTAGCTAATTTACAGGTCTAAGGAATACTGACATTGGCTAAGCCCAATTCCACAAAGAAACCCAGACACTTAGAATGGATATGGGATCTCTGAGGTGAACAGTTCAACAGCATGGAAGGATGGATGAAAATAGTAGTAAATTTGTTTACATTTGTCTCAGACCAGCTGCAAGCTCTGCCTGGATCCTTGTGCTTGGATGGAAGTCAGAATTTATATCTCATTTGCTTTTTAATTAGCAGTAGTAAGGGAAAGATCATCTTCTCATGTAGCTAGTAATAGCAGAGGGGACATACCAAAAAGGGGAAATCACAAGTAAAAAAGTAGCAGTAGAAAAAAACAAGAGATGTTTTTGGGAGAATGGCAGTGGTGGGATTCTGAGCTAATCTGCAAGATAATACCATAGCCCTTGCCTTCTGAATTCCACAACAGAGCCTCACAGCAGTGTTTGTTTACATAGATGCATAAAGGGTCCATGGCAAACCCCAACTGGGCCAGCCCAGAGACTCATTGGCATAAATGATACAGATCAATCAATCACTCTAATGATAAGCATTTTTAAGTACCTTCTATGCTAGGTACTGGGGATGCAAATACAAAAAATGAAAGTCTGTTACACTTTTACATCTACTCTCCCAATGGTCTTTGGATATAAAGCTGGGGCAAACACAATTTCCTATGTTGTCAATAGGGAAACTGAAGTCCAAAGGTGGTAAGTGATTGACCCAGGATCACAAAGCAAGCCAGAGGTAGAATTAGAACTCAGTTCTCAACTCCTTGGTCTTTGTTCTATCCACTAGGTTTCCTATCTGGTAGATTCCCTCTTCTCTATTTTGCTTGTTAGCAAAATAAGCCCTAACTAAAGGATGACTTAATAATTGTTTTTAATTGCATTTCCTTGCAATAAATACTATGGGATGTATTCTTCTTTTCATCTGGTACTTTAAAAAGCAGTCACTGAATTTGGTAAGACAAAATTATAACTTTATTTTGACTGGTATCTAATTATGCAATAATCTCCAATGGTATTTCCCCATTCCTGACATTTTAAATTAAAAACAAAATATAATTTTTTAACTCAAAATAGTACTTGTCTACAGAATAAACAGAAGAGAAGAAAGAAATGCACGTAAGAAGGCTTGTGAAATTATTCCTTCCATGAATCAGTTTCTAATTTCATGTTCCATTAAAAGGGATAATGGCACAGTCTTACAATTTTAATGTGCTGTCCCAGATCATAATATTCAAATACAATATTTATGTAGTAATCTAGAAAATGAAATATTCATGGGGTTGGAAGATTGGTTGCTGTATTTACTTCATTCAAAAACAATAAGCTGCAAATGCACATTTTGGTTAATTATTAGTAAATAGCCCCAATCAATTACCCATGTCTTAGAAGACTTCCCAGGGAGACAAAGGACAATTGCCAATGGCAGCTCCCAGATCTATGGCCTGGGTTTTGTACTATCAGGAAATAAATCAAACACTTTGATTAAAACTTTTGGTACTTACTTATCCAATGGTAGACCCAAACCAACCAACCAACCAACCAACCAACCAACCAACCAACCAACCAACATTTTCAGCATTGTCTATATTCATTTGCTGAAAACATTTGATTCTATCCCTGATTTTGGGGGTAGGGGGAGAGGGAGGGAGAAGCTACGTAAAAAGTTATCATACTGTATTGGGAAGAGCATTGACTCACTTGGGAGTCAGAAAACCCAGGGTCTGGTGCTGGCTGTATTATTTACAAGCCATTTTGGTCAAGTTACCTAATTATTTTGAAACTCAGTTTCCTTATCTCTAACATGGCGATAATAATCCCTGCTATGGCTCCCTTTATTGGCTCAGGTCAGATCAGGCCAGTTCAGCTTAATTCAGCTTAACACGATTCAATAAACACCTACTTGTGTTTAAAGCAACTGCTAGGTGCTTCTATAGAAAAAGGAAAATTAGTCCTTGCCTTCAAGGACTTTCTACTGGGAATTTCTAAAATACTTTCCAGTTCTATCAATCACTGGAATAAAGACTATATGAAGATTCTTAAATATCTAAAATATTATTATTAAAATATTTAAATATGCTAATTTGCTAATATTATTGCTAATAATATTTAAATATGCTATTTTGTAGAATCATAGTCAGAAAAGGGAAAGTGGGCCAGGAAGGTACATAAAATGAGCCAGTTTGACTTTAGAAAGATGCTAGAAAAACATACAAACAATTTTTAAAAAATTTTAAACATGGCAGAAATGTGAAATTTAAAAGAATGTTAGAGTTGAGGGTGGGAAGAGGACCTTAAATATTTTAGGGATGAGTCTAACCCTATCATTTTAGGGATGAATGAATTTGATGTCTCAATATATCTGATACTTTATGTAAATAATTAGCTATTTCCTTTGAAAAAGAGAAAAGAATTCTGAAAATTATTATTTAATGTAGGATGGGGAAGGGGAGTTATGCAGCCTTGACCTGCTTTTGGCACCTCTCACTGTGCTACCTGATGGTGAGTCAACAGGTGCAGGTATTGGTTTCCTGCTAATGCAGAAAATGGGCATCTAGGTGGCACAGTGAATAGAGTACTGAGCCTGGAGTCAGGAAGACTCAACTTCATGACAAAAGAAAAATCTATTAGAGGAGGTGCTCTTTCTCTATATGACAGATTCTTCCATGCTTCAGAGTAAATGGTTTTCAGAGTTACTGTGGTAAATACATAGATACATATATATACACATACATGTCTCTAGGGGCAGCTACATGGTGCAGTGGATTGAGCACCAGGCCTGGAGTCAGGAGGAACTGAGTTCAAATTTTACTTCAGACACTACCTGTATGACCTTGTACAAGTCACTTAACCCTATATAATCAGTTTCCTCATCTGTAAAATGAACTGGAAAAGGAAATGGCAAACCACTCCAGTATCTTTGCTAAGAAAACCCCAAATGGGGTCATGAAAAGTCAGACACGACTAATCTTTCTATAATCATCATCTTTCTATAATAATTAATTCCTTCTGTCAAGGGTTTGCTCAGCCATTGGAGTAGGTCACACCTGTCAATCAGCAGTAGGTCTTAAGATAATAGATCTAGAGTAGAAAGGAATATTAGAAATCATTTAGTCAGCCCTCTCATTTTTTTTAATTTTACAGATGAGGAAACTGAGGCTCAGAGAGCTTAAGTGATTTGCCCTGGGTCATACAGATCCTAAGTGGCAGAGCTGTATTCTAACTCGAGAACCTTTTGACTTTTAACCCAGAAAGTAATTTTTCCACTCTGTTCTTAAGCATCTGATTCCTAAGCAAGTCTTTAGCACAGGGGACTAGGGCAATGTGTGTATATGTTTTAGAGTAGGGGTGGGATCCTTTGTTCAGACTAGTTTGACTGTCATGAATAAATTTCCAGTTTTTTGACAAGAGTGAGGGAGGGAATAGCAGAGCTTATTGCTTTTGTAATGAATATTATATCACTAAATATAAGCTCTTTGAGGTCAGGAACCATTTTGTTTTTTTCTCCTTCCTTCTTTCCCTCTAATGCCTACCACAGAATTTTGCACAAAGTAAGCACTTAACAAAATAGATTTTTGTTTTTTTTTAAACCCTACTTTTTCAAATCCCATTTACAAAGTGCCCTGGACATATTTCATTTAGTTAAATGAGCATTTTTAAGCATCTACTATGTACGCATATAGAGGGTTTGTTGGTTAGTGTTTTCAGTTGTGTCGAACTCTTTCTGGCTTTATTTTGGGGTTTTCTTGGCAAAGATACTGGAGTAGCTTGCCATTTCCTTTTCCAGCTCATTTTACAGATAAAGAAACTGAGGCAAACAGAGTGAAGTGACTTGCCCAGGGTCACACAACTGATAAATTTCTGAGGTAAAATCTGAACTTAGGTCTTC